CACCAACAAGAATAAAACGATAATACACAATCATTCAGTACACAATAGTACAATTTACATTCGCAAAACATTTAAAATGTTCACATAATACAACATGAGTCAGATTTTCAATACAGATTTCAAACATTAACAACTTGGTCTGGATACTTCTCACAGACTTCTACTTCATGCTCCCAAGTCGCCTCCTCAACCCTATGGTGTCGCCACAACACCTTAACCAATGGAATGGTCTTGCCCCTCAAGACTTGATTCTGAGTATCTAACACTTGAACATGTCTCTCTTGGTACAAGGCATCCTCATTTACCTCTAACTCCGTCTAATCCAACACGTGTGAAGGATTGGGCTCCTACTTCTTGAGCATACAAATATAAAATATGTCATAAACCTTGAAAAGTTTGGGCAGTAAACCAAATGATAAGCTACCTCCCCAATCTGCTCTAGAATCTCAAAAGGCCCAATAAATCTTGGAGACAACTTCCCACTCTTCCTAACTCTCATAAAATCCCGTCTCGGTGATATTCTTAGGAAAACGTGATCTCCTACCTCAAAAGATAATGGTCTCCTCGTACGGTAGGCATAACTCTTCTGGCAACTTTGAGTCGAAACCAACCTCTTACGAATAAGCGTAACCTTCTCTGTCATTTCCCATACTAATTTAGGACCCAACATAGGTGCATCACCCACTTCGACCAAACACACTGGAGATCTACACAGGTGGTCATTCAAGGCCTCAAAAGGTGCCATACCAATACTTGCCTGAAAGTTGTTATTATAAGCAAACTCCACTAAAGGTAAATGCTTCTCCCACAATCCCTTAAAGTCAAGAACACAACCTTGGAGCATATCTGCTAAGATCTGAATGGTTCTTTCGGACTGCCCGTTAGTCTGAGAATGATAGGAAGTGCTGAAAGTCAACTTAGTGCCCAAGACATTCTATAGGCTTTGCCACAACCAAGCCGTGAAACGTGGATCTCTATCCGAAACAATAGTCACAAGGACCCCATGAAGCCGAACTATGTCCTTAACATAAAGGTCAGCAATGTAATCTACCAAGCCACTCGTGCACATAGGTACAAAGTGAGCTAACTTGGTTAATCGGTCAGCTATAGCCCACACGACATCATAATCCTATTGGGTCCTTGGAAGACTTACAACAAAATCCATCGTGGCATGCTCCTACTTCCACTCGGCTATAAGTAAGGGTTGCAACAAACCCGTTGGTTGTTGATTTTTGGCCTTCGCTTGTTGACAAGTAAGGCACCTGGAAACAAACAAGGCTATGTCTCTGTTCATCACCCTTCAGCAAAATTGCTGACTAAGGTCGTGGTACGTCTTTGTGCCTCCCAAGTGTATCACAAGACGTGAATGGTGAAACTCTTGGAGTACTTCCTCCTTATAAGATTCTGGCATGAAAAGACGGTTCAGATACCTCACACTTGAGCCTCTACTTTGTGATCACCCTGTTGTGTTTCTATTACTCGGCTCACTAGTGTAGGTTACGCAACTACAGTGAACAAAACGGATGACTCAACGGACTCGTTAAGATGCAAGTCAAACTCGCAAATAGCAGCCAATATCTCTTATTCCCGGACGACAATACTAGCTACACTGCTTACTGATTTCCTATTCAAGGCATTGGCCACTGGCCTTTCCCGGATGATGGAGTAACTCAAAGTCATAATCCTTCATAAACTCCATCCATCTTCTCTGTCTCAAATTCAAATCTTTCTGTGAAAATAGATACTTCAAACTCTTGTTATTGGAAAACACCTCAAATCTCTCACCATATAAGTAATGCCTCCAGATTTTTAAAGCAAAAATCACTACTGTAAGCTCTAAGTCGTGAGTAGGATAGTTTCTCTCATGGGTTTTCAACTGGAACTGTAAGCTACCACATTTCCCTCTTGCATCAACACACAAGCCAACCCTTCTCGAGACGCATCACAATAAACTGAATAGCCCAAATCTCTCTCCAGAATAATCAACACTAGGGCAGTGATGAGTCTAACCTTAAGCAATACTTGCCTGAAAGTTGTTATTATAAGCAAACTCCACTAAAGGTAAATGCTTCTCCCACAATCCCTTAAAGTCAAGAACACAACCTTGGAGCATATCTGCTAAGATCTGAATGGTTCTTTCGGACTGCCCGTTAGTCTGAGAATGATAGGAAGTGCTGAAAGTCAACTTAGTGCCCAAGGCATTCTGTAGGCTTTGCCACAACCAAGCCGTGAAACGTGGATCTCTATCCGAAACAATAGTCACAAGGACCCCATGAAGCCGAACTATGTCCTTAACATAAAGGCCGGCAAGGTAATCTACTGAGTCAATCGTGCGCATAGGTACAAAGTGTGCTGACTTAGTTAACCGGTCAACTATCACCCACACGGCATCATTACCTCGTTGAGTCCTCAGAAGACCCACAACAAAATCCATCGTCACATGCTTCCACTTCCACTCGGCTATACGTAAGGGTTGAAACAAACTCCCTAGTCATTGATGCTTGGCTTTCACTTGTTGACAAGTAAGGCACCTCGAAAAAAATAAGGCCACGTCTCTTTTTATCTCTCTCCACCAAAACTGGCGATTAAGGTCGTGGTACATCTTTGTGCCTTCCAGGTATACCGCAAGGCATGAATGGTGGAATTCTCGGAGTACCTCTTCCCTATAAGATTCTAGAATGAAAAGACGGTCAAGATATCTCACACTTGAGTCAGAATACACGTTCAAGCCCTTCTTTACTTTCTTACTAGATATCTTTCCTCGAATGGCCTCTACTTCTAGATCACCCCGCTATGCTTCTATAACTCGGCTCACTAGGGTAGGTTGTGCAACTTAGGTGAACAAAATGGCTGACTCAACAGACTTGCCAAGATGCAAGTCAAACTCGCCAATAATGCCCAGCATTTCCCATTCCTGGATGGCAACACTAGCTACTCTACTTATGGATTTCCTACTCAATGCATCGGCCATTACATTGGCCTTCCTCGGATGATAGTGTAACTCAAAATCTTAGTCCTCTAGAAAATTCATCCACCTTCTCTACCTCAGGTTCAAATCTTTTTGTGAAGACATATATTTCAAACTCTTGTGATCGGAAAACACTTCAAACCTCTCCCCATAAAGGTAATGCCTCCAGATCTTTAAGGCAAAGATCATCACCGCTAGCTCTAGGTTGTGAGTAGGATAATTTCTCTTGTGTGTTTTTAACTAGCGTGATCCATAAGTTACCACTTTCCCCTTTTGCATCAATACACAACCCAAACCTTCTCGAGATGCATCACAATAAATCAAATAGCCCAAACCCCTCTACGGAATAATCAATACTGGAGCATTGGGAAGTCTAACCTTAAGCTCTTGAAACGATTTTTCATAAGTCTTACACCACACAAACTTAGTTTCCTTCCTCGTCAATCTAGTCAATGGTGAGGCCAATCTAGAGAAGTCTTTCACAAAATGTTGGTAATACCCGGCTAAGCCCAATAAACTCTGAATCTCAAAGGCATTCTTAAGTTGTTCCTAAGCTTGCACTGCCTCTATCTTAAAAGAGTCTACGATCACCCCTTCCTCAGATACCACATGCCCTAAGAACTTCATTTCTTTTAGCCAGAATTCTTACTTCCTAAACTTAGCATATAAATGGTGTGCTGTAAGTAACTCAAGTACGATTCGTAAGTGTTCCATGTCTTCCTCCTCTGAGGGTGAGTAGATCAGGATGTTGTCAACAAAGACAATCACAAAACGGTCTAAGAACTCATGGAAGATTCGATTCATCAAATCCATAAACCATGCCGATGTGTTGGTTAACCCAAAAGGCATCACTAAGAACTTATAAGGGCCATACTGCGTACGAAATGCTATTTTCTGAATATCCTCACCCTTCACCCTCAACTGGTGATAACCCGATCTTAAATCAATCTTAGAAAAGCAACAAGACCCCTTCAATTGGTCAAACAAATCATCTATATGAGGTAATGGGTACTTGTTCTTAATAATTACCTGGTTCAACTTTCGGTAATCGATGCACAGTTGCAATGTGCCATATTTCTTCTTAGCAAAGAAAGTCAGTGCTTCGCAAGATGATGTACTAGGGCAGATAAAGCCCTTATCTAACAGTTTTTGGAGTTGAATCTTCAACTCACCCAATTCAGCAGGTGCAAACTATACAGAGCCATGGAAATCAGTGTCGTGTCGGGTTAATAAAGAATTCAATCTCTTGGTGAGGTGGCAAACTAGTAAGGACTTTGGAAAAAAATGTCTAGATATTTACAAACTACCCTTGGCAAATTAACTCAGACCACATCACTCTCTTTAATCAAGAAAGTTAAAAAGAGGCAATTGAGCTCACCCCGACCATGTGAATCATACACTGGCGATAAAACTCTATCAGCTTTGTCCCTTAGGAAATAAAAATAGTCACCACTCGAGGTGCACACCATAACTCTTTGATGGTAACAATCTATAATGGCACGGTATGAAGACAACCAATCTATGCCTAAGATGACATAGAAACCCCCGACATGTCTAACAACTCGAAAGTAAAAGGAAGTCGGCGACTGGAAACTTCTATCTCACATCCTCGACATCCCCGGTCCAAGACAACCTTACCACCGACAGGTGACTCTATCTTGAGCGGAGATGCTAACCGAGCCACTTCTAGCCCTAATGCTGATGCAAATACAGACGAAATAAAAGAATGAGATGCACCAGTATCAATCAACACATTGGCAATAGAGTTGCATAACAAAGTTACCTCTCACTACAGAAGATGCTAGTAATAGATCTGGTGTAGTAACAGAATACACATGCCCTATGGATCTCTCACTTAAAGAAAATAGTGATTTAGAGACTAATATTTAGAGACCAATTGAATTTGGTCTCTAAAAGCCATCATTTAGGGACAAAAATAAATTTTAAGAGAAAGTAATACAAACACACCGTATTCCTTTATGATATGTGTTACCAGGGGGAAAAAAAGTTACACTTTCATTTGACCAATTGATCCCCGTGTTTGATATGATTAAGAGCTGGAGACCACTTAATTTGGTTGCTAATGTGTGAAGACTCTTGGAGACCAAATATTTTGGTCGTCTCAGTAATAGGCAAATAAAATCTCATCCTCTCGCCCTAATTTGTCAAATGCATGCTCTCGATCTGTTCTCTTTTCTCTCTGTCTAGGGCTCCAATGGAGATCTAAGATCTTCAGCTTCAATCGTCTAGGACTCCAATGGAGATCTAAGATCTTCAGCTTCAATCGATCTTATCTTCATGATCGATCTCATACTCCAACACAGATCTATCCTCTCTCCCTCTTCGTTTCTGTACTAGTTTGCTCACGCCTCTCTCTCTCTCTCTCTAATGTATATATATATATATGGCCTATATATGTATGTCTATAGCAGATTGGTTTTGAAATATTTTTTAATATGTAGGTGTTTGGATCTGTGAACTGGAAGAGAAGATGAATCGGTACAAGGAGATTAGCAAGGTCTCGATTTCTGCATCTTACTCCATCTTCTTCCATAAAACTTGCTGAATCGGCCTCTTGAATCCCTCCGTAAACGTAAACCTTGTTGAATAGGCCTTTTGAATCCCTTAGTAAATGACCAATTCAGACTTCAAGATGGCATCTCAAGTATATGATCTAACTTTTTCTGATTTTTCATTAATTTTACTCTCAATTTCTGTATAAAAAAAATCAGATTTTGTTGTTTTTATCAAATAAATTCCAATCATAAACATTTATTTTAAAAGCAATTTACTAATGTTATATTGCAATACATGAATTGTGTTTGGTGTTTTATTTATTTCATGCATTTTTATGTTTCCACGCCATATGTTTAAAATTACTTTAGTATGTTATTGTCAATAATATACTTTGTACAAACATTTGGAGTTGCAACTTCTTTGGATTTGGTCCATAGAGAATATTGTGTGTTATCTATGTTTAATTTAATGATGAGGAGGTCACACATAGTGGGCCCCTACTAATAGCGATTTCTTAAGATTGGAAATGCATGAGTTTCGTTGGTTTGGCTTTCTATTGGAAATACATGGCTTTTGTTGGTGTGGAAATGCATATTAGATTTAATAATGTTAGTTTATCTGTTGTGAAAATATTATTAGATTTCTAGTCAATACTACACCAATTAATCATATAAGAAGTGAATGGAATAGGGCTCTCATTATGTTTAAGTTCTTTATTTGTCTACAAAAATGCAAAAAGTTCATTCGTTCTACCAATGTTCTCTTGAAATAGGTGCCTACTTATATCTAACATCTTGTTACATCTTTTTGTTGGTAATTCTGATAGGAAGAGAATCTTTGGTGCTTGAGTTGCTGGAATAATTCTTCCATTTTGATTGGGGTATTATATTCAAATTGGACAAACAAATTATAAATGATTTACCAATCCAAATAATTTTTTGACTTTTGATGTAAAATTAGCCCATTCATTTGTGCCAACCAGAAATAAATATTTGTCTCTAAATTTATTGTTATTCTATGTGGCTATTAGCCATCATTTGTATTTTTTGGCTGTTTCTGTATAATTGTTTTTGGCTACTGTATAGCTTTGATGCAGACAGGGTGCATAGGGGATGAAATAGTCCAAACTTTCATTGCTAACAATGCAACTTTTGAGAAGAAAACATCATTCTCACAAGTGAGGTTCTCCTAGGTGCTTGAGTATAGGATAATGTCTTTGTGAAATATATGTTGAATTCTTGTGTGCTGCAGGAGAAGTATAGACTAAAGAAGCAAAATAAATATGAAGCCAAGGTCCTTTTGAGGTGTCCTTTTACATGAAGGTAATCTCCAGTTTTCTTTTATGTAGTCCGCAAGACAATATTTAATTAATAATATATTTTGAAAATTCCATAGAATATAAAAGGAAGAATTTCAGATAAATATGAAATGAGGGTACCTGCATTTTCTCCCCACATCATTCTGGCTTAAATTATTTAGTGGCATAAAAGTTATCTTTTGTCTTCTAAATCATATTGGAACCTCATGGAAACCTTTATGCATATTGTATGTTCTCTTCTCCTTTGGATAATGCTGGGTAGTACAAGGAAAAGCCCAAAATGCTACAATTAGGTTTCTTATGATTTTAGGTTATTGAAAACTTGCATATTAATGGGGTTTGTAACTTGTGGGAGAAAGAAAAGGTTGTAGGATTTGTAAATGGAAAAGAGATCTCATTCTATATTTGGTCTCTAACTAGTCCTGTAAGTTTTTAGTGCTTGTTTGATGATGGTACTATTTTTGTTTGCTGACTTGTTATTTTTATTTATTTTAGTATATACAAGACATACTTTAAGAAATATCTAGCCAAAATTGGGTAATAATAGCAACACTCATGAATTTTATGTTTTTTGTTTCTCATTTTGGTATGATTACATCATTTGTAGATTTTGAATGAGGTTTTTTTTTTTTTGGGGGGGGGGGGGGGGGGAGATCTAAGATCTTCAGCTTCAACCGATCTTATCTTCATGATCGATCTCATACTCCAACACAGATCTATCCTCTAACGCAATATATGAATCTTAACGAAGTCATAAGGTGAATGCACATGTATGCCAATTGTCAAACGTTTCACATTTTCCGTCTCAAAACAATGCAATGCCAAATTTTACATTAATTCATGAAAATAATCTTTTAATATAAAAAAACAGGGCAGTAGATACAAAACATTGAGAATCTCTAGGTACGTGTCTACCAGTAGACTATAAAAGTACTACCAATGCCACTCTATCTATAAACGAAGTATT